TCCTTTTTGTTCGATAGCAGAAGGAAGTACTTAAGAATTTATAACTATTCCTTTTTTTTTTTTTTTTTTTTTTTTTTTTTTTTGCTTTTCGGGTCACACCCAGCGATGCTCAGGGATTACTCCTGGCTCTGCACTCAAGAATCACTCCTGGCGGTGCTCGGGGGCCCCTATGGGATGCTGGGAATCGAACCTGGGTCGGCTGCGTGCAAGGCAAACGCCCTACCCGCTGTGCTATTGCTCCAGCCCAGGAGGGGATTCTTGAACACACTGGTTCACTGGTTTGCAAGGGACTTTAATGCTTAAAATGTTGGATTATGCTCTCCTCAGATGCGTTCTGTTCATAGCACTGGGCCAAGTGCAGTCCTGCTGCCTTGGATCTGTGCAACATTTTAACAAGACAAGCAGCAACCGCAAACCCACCTCAACCAATGAATAACTTTGGCACTGATTCTTTTTCAACGATGTCATGGCAGTTGCAGGAACTAGCCAGGCCCACTGGTAACTGTGTTACTTGCTTCTTCCCTGAGCAGCAGGAGATGAGGAGAAATCTTGATGGGAGAATCCCTTGGTTAGCGATGGAGTATCCAGCCTGCGGAACGGAAAGAGGGTTTCAGCAAGTGGAATGGCTCCGAGTTGCAATTTAATTGAGCGAACAAGAACTAGCTGCGATAGAAGTTAATCAGAAACAATCATAGATGCTAAACTCTTACCTCTGGCCCACAAACGGGCCTTCATTTAATTGCTTCATGTATTCAGCTGTGATTTCAACGATGCAAGAAACTTGAGAACGGGGTAAGAGATAACTGCCTCGCTTCCCTCACCTAGTGAGCTATGTAGACATCCGCCCCCATTAAATCTCCGCTTCCCTGCCCCCTGAGTCCTGCAGGGGGTTACTCCCTGAGCACGGAGCCGGGAGCAGCCTCTGAGCACTGCCCGAGTGGCTCAAAACCCAGCTGTCCCCCAGGCAAGGAGAGAGCTCAAGGGGCTCAGCACACAGGAGGCCAGGTTCAACCCCCAGGATGACATGGTCCCCTGAGCACTGCCAGGCGGGGCCCCAAAACAATAAAAGAAAGAAAAAAAGAAAAGTCAGCTGTGCAGAGGCTGAAGCCAGAGGACAGCGGGGAAGGCGTTTGCCTCACTCACGACCAACCCAGATTCTATCCCTGGCACCCCATATGGTCCCCCGAGCACCGCCAGGAGTAATTCCTGAGTGCAGAGCCAGGAGTAGCCCCTGAGCATCACCCGGTGTGACAAGAAAAAAAAAAACAAGTAAATAAATAAAGTAAAATCAAATTAAATCTCAGAGACCTAGGACAAAATTTCTGTTACAGCATATGTTGCATTTTTCCTTTTATTTATTTGGAATATGTTCGGACTTGCTTTCGGAGAGTGATTACCTGAGTGGGAATGCTAAATCATAACACGACTTTAAGATGGGCCATTACTGCATCCGTATTTATCCCCTGACCCTCTTGCTTGTTATCATTTATTCCCGATAATGATAAAATCAGTTCCTCTGCATTCTCTCAAAGCAAGGGCACCAAACAGCAGAGAGAACGTGCAATCCGCTCCCCGTTCCTTACAGGAGTAAAGACATCCTGTGCCCGCCGAGTTTCATGGAGAAAACCAGTGAGCACAAGAGCTCTTATTAGGCGCCACATGTTTACCCCTGGCCTTTTATATTGTAAATACCAATTTCACAGTACCACACCCAGGATGCCAAGTTTCTGCCGGGAGCGTGGGCTAATGCAGACGCCTGTCTGTGGGCGCTGAGTCTCAAGGCCCAGAACAGCTGGTGAGGGGGCCGTTGTCCTCACAGGTGCTGTAATTGGTGTGGACATGTTTTTCCCTTCCCCGATGCCTGCCTGTTAAACGCCTCATGCACTAATTCATTTATAAAAATCCAATACAGCAAATTATCCATGAATCTCAAAAGGGCAAGAATTGCATAATTTAATCTTCCTAAAAACTGGCTATCGGGTCTTTTCCAAAAGAGCAAAGGACAAGATTTCATTTTGTGTTTGAACTGAAGACCTGTAGATACATATTACTCATCACTCTTCACCCCCAACCTGTCTTAATTATCCAGGCTAGTGGATACTTTTTTTAAAAACTTACGTTGTATCTAATGTATTTATTAATTTTCTCTTCACTAAAGACATACACATTACCCCCAGAATATAGGGAGGAGAAAACAGAGAAGGAAAAAAAAACCAAGAGGAGCAGGAATAAGAGAAAGGGAAGTATAGGGGTGGAGGGGTAGGGGTGGTGTCAGGGGTCAGGACTTGGGTTCTACCCACAACAACACTGAAAACATGAGATCTAAGCTCAGGAATATGCCTGGTGGGGCGGGGGGGCAGTCAGGACAGGGCTGGAGGGAGCAGGGAACCCTGGTGGTGGGATTGGTGTTGGAATTTGTTTGCCTGACACCCAACAAGCAGTCAATTTGTAAATCACAGTTCTTTAAATAAAAAAAAAAATTTAAGAATTCAAAAAAACTAAACTAACTTTGATTATCCCAATCATCCCTATGTAGAATGATGCTCACAGCCCACCCCTCCCTTCCTCCCTCCAGGCCCAAACCACCGCTGCAAGCAAAGAGCTCAAATCATGCAAGACTTTCAGTCCACTAAATCAACCCCCAAAAGAACAAGGTACTCTACAGAAAACAGAGCTGATGAATCGATATTGATTCCTGACTACTATTACCCAATTACTCATTTGGGCATGCATTATTTGTTTTATAAATATGTATTAATTTTGGCAAAAGTTAATCTCTAGCTTAGAACTAATTCAGAAGAACAAAGCTGATCGTTACTAATCAATGCTTTGAAGATCCTGAACCAAAGTGACAGCATGCTTTTTCCATTTCTGCAAAATTAGCATGGTCGTCTGAATGAGTACTACCCCAGTGAACATTTGCCCTGCCACAACCAGCATCAACCCATGACTGGGCCCCTTCTTACATCTCCAGTTACTGACTAAATTTATCAATACTTGTACAACCCCCCAAGTGGGATTGCCTGAGAGTTGGAATATCTCTCTGTCCTTTGAGACTGAACTCCAGGTCTCGTCACCGACTCATACTTTAGTAATGAACTTAACAAACAACATGGAAGAACTCTGACTCCAGGCCATGTGTACCCTGAGTTCTAAACACAGATGCAGTTGGAGTTTGGGAGCTAGAATTCATTTTAGGCAGCTGAGACCACCTTCCAGAGCATGAGAAAAGAAGAAAACTGGCTTCTGCTCCCACTTTTCAGGGTCACTCAATGGTCAGCCAATTATTTGTGGCTAATGCATATTTTACACGTTTCGAGATGATCTCCCACTCACCACTAATAATAACGCCTAAGTGCAAATGCTGAACACTAAGAATAAAGACAATCTCCAGGGGCCGGGGCTGAGGGTCTGCATTAGAACTCACCTGGTACATGGGCAGTCCTGGGGTCGATCCCCGGCACTGGGAAGCAAAACAAAAATGAAAAACAGCGTCTTATAAATTCCTGAAAAGATTCCAGCGTCCCCAACAGCAATGACCATGGATCTTGTTTGGGATTGGATCTCAGATTTTTGTGTGATCACTGCGCAGAGCTCAGATATGATGATCATTCCCATCATTGACCCAATCCCAGCCCTACATTTTCTCAATTTGCTTCCGACCGTGTACTGACAAAACGCAATTTCTTGAGAAGTTTGAGTCTGATGATTCATCAGACAACGGGAGGAACTCTGAACAACCTTCTCCGTGTCTCAATTATTTTCGTATCAGCCACAATCACATTACTACTCTCAGTCTAAACACACAGACTCAACTACATATCCTTTCACATACGCGGCCTTGATCACAGAGAGAGAGATCAATTGCCTTTTTAAATTACATTTTACTCTTTCTAAGAATGCAATGAGTTTCCATCAAGAAATAACACTTTGCAAAGAAAATAACACCGCCTGAGTCAGGGTGCTTGGAGCCCTCCCACTCCATGCACCAAGATGATTTCCAGAATCATCTTCACCCCAAGATCAGGGACGCACGGTCATGGTAAGCTTTCCCACTACACTGGTGTCCACGGTCAGCCATTTGCCCTCTTAAAAGTTCTAAGACACTTTCTAAAACATTGAAAACCTGCATAGAAACCGCAGACACAGACATGAACGCTGACCCTCACTCACCGGGCTTAGAGCTGCCACACGGGCATCGTCACAGAAGTCGGCAGGGGTGAGTGGAGTCTTGAACCATCTTGGACACGTTCATCCTGAGAAAGCAAGCACAGTTGAACCAACACATCAAGTTGGATCCACAGTGGTATCCCGTGCACATCTCATTCCCTGAGACGTTTCGAGATTGAAAAATGCACGCAGTGTGTTATTTTCACTGAGCCAGGGAGATAGCCTCAACTTGGGACTAATCGGAAGTAATAGCATATGATCCTGAACACGCAGATAATATTCTCCAATGATTTCTGAGTGAATATCAGCACTTATCAAATTTAATTAGGAACAGCTATCACGTCACGTGATGCCATCGTAGGAAATGTCTTATCTCTTTTGGTTTAAGTATGTACTAATTTTCAAAGCTCTTAACCACAAACCAAACCTAAGAATACAAAATAAGAACCTGGTATCTGTATATTCAACATCTGTGTGTGGGATCACTTCCAGGAGAAGGAATAGGTGAGAGGCTAAGCTGGACACAGAGGCCACTTATGCTAGTGACCACCAGGATCACAGACCCACATTAGTCCATAATTCCCTTCATGTTTTTACATAGGTGTCACTTGAATAATTTAGTCATGAATGTGAATAGAAACACACTACTTTCCTCTTATCACTCTTTTGTTTAGGACTTTAACCATGAACGGATATTGGATTTTGACAAACACTTTCTCTGCATCTATTTACATGAAAGTGCCCGGACTCAGACAAGGTAGTGGGAGAAAATGAAACATCTCAGCCCTGTCCCAGAATTCCCAGGGATAACAGACACCATTATTCTAACAGTGGACCTCAGAGCTCCAGGAACATATTCATCATGTATGAACACATACACGATCACTGGTCATCATCGATCCAAAATTGTTTCTCTTTGTGATCTTGTCCCCCCCCCCCCCCCCGCACATCCACTGATCAACTCGTTATTGTCTTTAAATGAGAGGGTTCACCAACACTTTTCATGGCCCTAGCTCTTTATGGAATTATTCTCACAACAGGGCTGTCATGAATCCTCCTCACTTTTTCATGATTATGGATAAAATGCACCACAGACATGCACACATGAGGATGTTCAGTCAACAACGGGCCACACGTATGACGGCGCTACCTCGTCTGAGTCCGGGGGTCCAGCAAATGGATGCCAAGCTGGAGTCATGACACCTTATATTGTGTCCCGGGATGAAAATGCCTGGCATCCCCGTTCTCACTCTGTATCCCACCACTAAGTGCCACACAAATGGGAATCCCAAAATCACACTGAGATACCCACATATCTTACAAATTGAATATGCCTTATAAATTGAAAAACGCTTTTTAAAAACCCAAGAACTTTGTGTTCAAGAAAGCAAGGTCAGTGCTGCCTTATTTATGGCCACGCAATATCTCCTATTTTACACCACTAATATACCAAGAATATCACACCACATTTGATGGGGTTTAAAGCAGAAGGCAACCTACCTTAGGAGGAAATACATTTATACAGCTATCCATATATGCACACAAGGCTCAACCTTTAACAACATGTTACTGACCTCATATTGAAGGGTTTAATGGCTCCTGCGTGAAATACAACAATCTTCACACACCTTCCTCTAAGAAACCTTCTTTGAGTCATTTTTAGTGGATTATTCATGACAAGCAATACAAAATGAATTATTTTGGTTCTGTTTTGGGAGAAAGATTTGGGGTTCGGGATAGAAACATCCAAAACATGGTGGTGGGAAGGTGTGATGGTGGTGGGATTTGTATTTGAATATTAAGTGTAATCAAATATTGTGAACAACTTTATAAAAATAAAAAACTAAAAAAAAAAGAAAGTAAGGTCAATGATTACCCACATGGGCCTTGGGAGAGGAGCGACCACATGACCAGGTCACAGCAGACGTCCAGCGCCCCTAGGGAGGACTCACCCTGCTGCCTTCCTTTTCTTTAGCATTATCGAACTTCTTTAATGGTGCCATGATTAATCACATTGGTAATAACTCTACCCTATTAACCCAATAGCCACGTTGGGCAAATTCCTAGTCTCTGTCTCTAGACCCAGGGAATACTCTCAGTCTAAGGGGGACATGGCAATGTGGAGTGTTATCTTCATCAAGTCTCCCAGCCAGGCCCTGCCCACCTCATCAATCTAGAAGTCCCTGCTTCCATTTCCACAGTAGTGGAATAATTCACTATAACAGCCAAACATTCAAAGTAATTTCCCCAAATTATCTGGATATCTATGTCTCCTTAAAGACTGGCCTCAAGGTCACTTTATTGAACTAGAGTTCATGTCCTTTAATAAAGCACTGACATCTTCTTCCCACCCCCCAAAAAAAATCCTCACAAGAGAGAAGTTTGACTCTTACTTACGTGCTTCCCAGGATCCAGACGTGTGGACACACTCAGAACCGTGGGGCCATCCTCAGAAAGTACAAGACAAAGGAGATGAGGAAAAATTAGATGCCATTCCCCCATTCGCGTGTCAGTCATGAAGCAATGAGTGGCTCATGAACATTTTTATGTATTTACTCATGATCTCATTCCACACTTACAATAATGGAAATGGGTGAACATGAAGAATAAGAATATTATTTGGGGGGCTGGGGACGTGGCTCAGGGTAGAACTCACCTTCTATGTGGGGGGTCCTGGTTTCGATCCCTGGCGCTGGAAAAGAAAATAAAAAAAGTTATTTTGTATATTCCTCACATGATCTAGACGCCCTGAGAGCAAAGAGGGGGAATGAGGGGCTCATGTCTCGGTCTCAGACTGTCCCACATGATCAGCGTAGAAACTCATGAGATATGATGACAAGTCAACATCATTGGTCCAGCCCTGCCCTTTCTTGATTCACTTCTCATTGGTTGTCAATAAATTCATCAGTGCCCCATGATTTTGAGTGCCAGGTTAACAAAATAAGCAACATGAGCTTCCAAGGCACTTGGTCTGTCCCTAGACTGTTCTCATCTCCACCCCTGCCACTGGGACAGGTGACACAGTGACTCAGAAGTACACTGTGGGGTTAACCTGCACTCATCACCGAGAGAGTTTTCCTTCTAGTTGTATTGACACTTTTGAAGAATGCCGTGAACTGCATTACAGAAACACAATCCTCAAGCTAAAGAAAATAACCTCAAGTGTGACTCACCTTGAGCTGACCCTGGGCCAGGTTTGTGTCCGGACGTGCTTCTGCGTGCGCCAGCGTGTCCGACTCTGCGGAATACAGCACGAATGGTGACAGAGAGTCAGACACCCAGTTCTATGGTCCCAGACGCCCACTTTCCACTAAGCCAATGAGCAAACAGTGAGTGGAATCATTTCTGTTTCATTTTCTTGTCAGTAAAATAACAGTATCTGGCTGCTGACAGAGCAAGAATACTGACAATTGTTTCTTAACGACAATATCATCCTCAGTCGAACACTAACATCCTAGTATAACTAGTCTTATAACTATTTGTATTTCTAACCATCTACCTCTATAGAGAGATGGTGTTTAACTACCTTCATCTTTACTTCTATATCAAATGCACAAATGTGAAGACCAAAACTAGATCCTTGTGTCTTCATCGAGAGCAACTCCAACTAGAGCATCCCTGAAACAATGAGGAGAGACTCGACCCTTTGCTGTTGGACCTCAGCGTTCCGGACAGGCCTCATCACAGGAGACTCCGACACCACAAGCCGTCATCATGCATCCAACATCCTCCCTCTTCTTCATTCATGTCTATGACCCACATTTATCTGTGCCGCCCTCGCTACAAACACACTCACGGTGAATTTTACGTGTGACTAATGAGCACAGAGCTTCCTACGATCGTGGCACGGCTGCTCTGGGGTGTGTTCAGACGTGCAGTGCACAAGCAGAAAGATACCAGACAGACCCGAACCATGACCATCCCTCACCTTAATCTCCGAGCCGCCGGCAGGGACGCCCCCTCATGGATCCCTCCACCAAGGCAGGTCTCACGTCAGTGCAACGTGTCGGTGTTGAGAAACAAAACACAGGTAAGGATAAAAACTAATCCCCATGTCCACTGTCAGTGGCCACGCAATCCCACATTTCACCCACAGATATACTGAGGTATTAAAAAAACCCGATAATGTAGTCCTTGCTCTCTCTCTCTCTTCCATCTTTTTCCTTTATTTCTCTTTCCCTCTTTCCCTCATTCCCTCCTTTCCTTCCTGTCTTCCCTCCCTCCCTCTCTCCCTTCCTTCTTTGCTCCTTCCTTCCTTTTCTTCCCTCCCCTCCTCTCTGCCTTCCTCCACTTCCTCCTTCCCTCCCTCCCGCCCTCCCTCCCTCCTTCCCTCCCTCCCTTCTTCCCTCCCTCCCTCCCTCCCTCCCTCCCTCCCTTCCTTCCTTCCTTCTCACCTTCCTTCCTTCCCTCACCCCCCTCCTTCCCACCCTCCCTCCCTCCTTCTTATTGGGCTTCTTGGCTCTGAGCTCAGAGATCTCTCCCGGAGTGGTTTGGGGGACAATATGGGGAGTCTGGAATCAAACTCAGGTTGGGCACGTGTTGGGCAAGTGCTCTGACCACTGGACTGTCTCTCCAGCTCAATAGGGTTTTCTTGCAACAGCAGAAACGCTCAAACCCCTGACTTGGTTAGAACAGCAGGACTGAGTCTAAGTGATTCATATCCAAGTGACCCTTAGGAAAAGAGATCGTGTAATAGCCAGCAATTTATTTCTTAATGAGCTTCAGTGTTTTATATTTTTATTTAGAATATACGTTGTCTCTCCACATATGTTCATAGTTGCACAATGCTTCACACTTTCTCCTTTATATTTCCGTAATAGTGCTGTTAGCCATTAATATTCACAAAAGTACATATAGAGCCACGCAAAACAAAAACAAAGACAAGCTTTACAACATCTGAAGAACACAGCCGGGCCTGACCGTCAGAGCCTCTGACGCCAGCACCGGTCCACACAGCTCACGCTCACAGCGCTACAAACCATCAACCTCGCGACATGTATAATATGGATTATTGCACAACGGCCCATTTTTTTTACTGATAACTATATATTATGTGATGATTATACTTACAATACTACTATGAATACCTCTCATTAAATGAGCCAGCCAGAAGAACGCATTTAACCATTCCTTGCTTTCTTTCACGTCTATCGTGAAAGCAAGGTAGCAATCTTGATGGTGACAACAATTTATATGTCCACACCAAGGACAGATTTGCAGTTTCTAATTTACTTCAAATCATTGGGCATTTACTAATAAATTTCCATTTCTTTCTAATCATTAGGCATTTACTAATAAATTTCCATTTCTTTCTAATCATTAGGCATTTACTAATTTATAAAGATTATTTATTTATCTTGGGATTGTGGACCACATCTGGTGGTTTGCAGGGTTTACTCCTGGCTCTGTGCTCAGGGGTCACTCCTGGTGGTGCTTGGGGGAACAGATGGGTGCCGGGAATTGGCCAGGACTGGCCACAATGGAGAAAAGGGTTTCACCTGCGGCACCCCCTCTCTGAACGGTGCAGAGTAATTTCTAGTTAATGAAACAAAGTTGGAGTCTGCAACTGGCTCAGGCAATGAGTAACGATTACATTTCATTATCTACATCAAACTACGAGTGGATACAATACACTTGGTCTACTCTTTATGGTTCCAGTGAGTAAGTGTTTAACCTTGTAACATATTTAACAAAATACATGGTGTTCTTCATCTGTAGTCATTTCTACAACTCGTTTAATGCTTTAACTTTGCGGATTGAAAATACTGCTAAAATCTTGATTACAAAGGCTAAGGAGAACATACGAAATATCTAACATCTATGTGGAGATTTCCCGGACGCACGGGAGAGCAGCAGATACTCAGCACGCAGGCAGGACTCGGGGGCCACGAACATACAGAGGACAGAGACACAGCGGTGGTCGGCGACACCAGCTTTCCTGTGGCCTTTCAAAGGGGGTCTACTGACTAACAGGAGGTCGGCACTACGTTCACAGCCACAGACACGAGATCCCTCTTTCTTGCAAACACGCAGCTATCACAGAATCCACGGGAGGAAATCCCCTGCAGTAACTCTGTGGTCACTTCTCTTCGCTCTCAGCACCGTGCCCAAGGCTGCCGTTTCCGTGATTACTGGGAAACGGGCACATGTCAAGCTCTTGGCTATCTTGGTCTTGAACAAGGCACCAGTCGCTCTCAGACTCAGGACGCAAACCCAGCCACCGAGGCTGATGACTGGCAGGCAGGCAGCCACGCGACCACGTGGGGACACCAGCTGCGCGGGGGTGGTCCTGGGGGTGGTCACCAGCAGCACCAGAAGCTCCAATCTGGGGAGTAAAGTGCAGGAGATGAGAAACGCTACGACGCCCTGCCGGGCACGCTGGCTGTCCGGTTGTCGTTACTCTGGGCCCGGGCCATCCTTCCGGGACAGTGCTCACACGATTTTCTTTGATGAATGCAAGTTACCTTCCAACCTCAAGCTGACCCAAGGCAGCAAACTGCCAATAACTTAGTTGTGGAGATCATCCTTAGCCAAAGAGCGTGAGTCAAACCCACTTACTCTCTTCCGCTTTCACTACTTCATACTAACAGCATTTCTTTCCTCTTTTTAAAGGGTGGGGGTCCTTATCCAATAGTACTGAAGAACCATACGAGGTCAAAAACAAAACCTGGGGTTCCCAGCATGGACTCCAGGCTCCGGGCCCTAATAGCAATTCTTGCCTCTCCACATACTTTTCTTTCTTTTTTTTTTTTAAATTTTTTTTTAGTTTTGGGTCACACCTGGCAATGCTCAGAGGTTACTCCTGGCTCTGCACTCAGGAATTACTCCTGGCGGTGCTCAGGGCACCATATGGGATGCTGGGAATCGAACCCGGGTCGGCCTCCTGCAAAGCCAACACCCTATCCACTGTACTACTGCTCCAGCCTCTCTCCACTAAACTTAACTTCTAAATTTAACAAGCCACCCATGTCTTGGTTTGGGGGCTTTCGGTAGTGGTTTGTGGATTCCTGCTTTGTTGTAACCATCGTCAGAGACCAGAAAGGCCAGAAGGGAAAGCTGCGGCCCTCCACGCTGACCGTCAGCTCCGCAGACCCGCGTGGACATCCCTCCTGAGTCCCAGGCTGGCGGGGTTCACCCGGGCCAGAGAGACCTCCTCCCCCTCTCTCAGAGTCTCTGCGCTGCTTATGGAGGAAAACTCTGAGTCCTCAGACTCCAGGCCAGAGCTGCCATCGCCCCCCACGTCTGCGGAATTCTTCTCACACCAAGAGGTGTCAGGAATGCACCCACTCTCCTGCACGCTTGAACCCAGAGCATGCTTCAAATTAATCCCATATTTCTCACGCAGGCATGGTTGGCCTTCTTGGATCATAGTTCCTGCTTTTTATTAATACCCGTAAACAAAAGACTCGCGCCGAGACAAGGTCTTTGATTATTACTTACATTTGTCTCCAGGCTTCTTCCAGAGACGCGCCCACAGAGCGTGGGGTCAGGGCGGCAGGGGGACCCAGGCACGTCGGTCCTGAGGAGGGCAGAGCGGAGAAGTGAGAGCGAGGGGTGAGACCTCCCTTTCCACGGCCCGACCTTCCCGCCTTCATGGCACCGCTTGTCTGGACCATTGTGAATTGGATGTCGGGACGCTTTCATTTCTCCACGAGGGCAAACAACTTTGAGTGGGACCCAGAATCTAGATTTTGTCTATGTCGCTAGTGCCTGGCCCGTCCTTAGCTGGTCTGGTCATTGTCACGAGGCCCTTGTGTTCTGGGGCTACACCGAGCAGGCCCAGGGGACCATGTGGCATTTGGGATTGATTCTCGGGCTGTCTGCTGCATACCCCACACTCTAACCCTTCATGCCATCTCTCCAGGCCATGGACCGTTTATTTCTAAGTGAACATCATGATTTTCGTACATGTTATTGCCTCAACATCCATTTTTGAAACTGGACTACGCTTCATTGCATTCACCTTTCTTGTTTTATGAAGAATTATGAAGAAATTATTGGTAGATTTTCATTTTTCTAATAGCTATAAAAGAATGCAAATGTATAAATAATAAGGCCAAAGGTAAGCCATCAAAATTCCCGACACCTGTCCTGAGACTCTCCTCCAACAATGAGAATGGATCGATTTCCTTTGTGTTGGACCTCAGATTCCCACGTATTCATCGCAGAAGACTCATACGCCACCAGTCATCATCATTGATCCAATATTTTTCATCTCTGCATCCATTTCTCATTGCTTATTGATAGAGGTATTCAGTCACCAAAAAAAATCTTTTTTTTTTAGGGTCACATGCAGCAGTGCTCAGGGCTGACTCCTGGCTCTGTGCTCAGGAATCACTCCTGGTGGGACTCAGGGGCCATATGAACCATGCAAGTGCCTGAGATTCAACCCAGGTCAACCACATGCAAGGCAAACACCTTATCCACTGTACTACTTCTATGGACCTAAAAATTATTTTACTTGCTAAAATACATGCCCCCCGCCAAATTAAGAATACATGTCCCTTGCTGAAAGTAGACTATAGACCAAACATGATTGTCACCCATTGCCTCTTTTGCAAACCACAACACCCAATAGGAGAGAGAGAACAAAAGGGAATGTCCTGCCACAGAGGCAGGGTGGGATGAGGGGGATGGGGGGTGGGAGGGATACTGGGACCCGTGGTGGTGGGAAATGGGCACTGGTGGAGGGATGGGTATTTGGTCATTGTATAATTGAAACCCAAACACAAAAATTTGTAAGTCTACAACTGTACCTCAGGGTGTCTCACTAATAAAAATTAAAAAAAAAAAAAAGAATACATGTCCTTACTAGGAATATCAAAGCCTTCTCAAATATTTCTTAATCCTTAGTTTCCCAAATACATACCAACTGGTCAGACACCATAAACACCATTCACAAACACCATACTTAACAGTAAAATAATCTGGCACTTTGGGATGATGTAGTTCCCGGTACCGAGACAGTGAGAAGGCAGGAAGACAGCTTCCCCCAGGACTCACTTCAGCATCTGCATCATCTGCTCTCCAGCGGTGACCACAGGCCCAGCCCTAGGCTCGAGGGCATCCATGCTGAGGAGAGGATAAAAAAAAAGAAATAAAATCATGAATATTCTGGATAGTTCAAACTGAGGGACAGTGTCTGCTGTGCTTGGGCGGGCCTCAGAGTCCCACGTATTCATCGTAGAAGACTCATACGCCACCAGTGGTCATCATCAAGCCCACCGCCTGTGCCTTACCACTGTGTCACTTGTTAATGTTTCAAATTCCCAACACTCTAACCGACTTTAAAACCACATGAAACAAATCGCATCCTTCAGTTGCAGAGTGCTTTTCCAGCAACATACTCTGCACCAATCATGCTGCTCCCAGTATGAGAGTTAAAATAAATGTTTGGTATTAAGGATAGACATCACTTAGTTTAGATATATTTCAGACTGTCAAAGAAGCCGATGGGATTACCTTTAAACAGAACCACTGAGATTCGTGAAGAGACAAAGGCTCAGGCGATGGCGATGTGGTTCTTACACTGGCCACCAGGGGGCACTGCTTCAGTGAGCTTCAGGGGTCCACTCTGGGGAGTACAAAGTCCAGTGGGAGATTTTTTTAAAAACCGGTAAGGGCTGGAGTAACCGTGCAGCGGGTAAAGTGCTTGCTTTCACGCGGCCAATCTGGGTTGAACCTCACCACCCCATATGGCACCCCAAGTCCCACCAGGAGTGAAGACTGAGCACCTCCAGGTGTGGCCCCAAAACCAAAATAATTAGGTCCTACCCTTCCTGCCGGATCAGACCACATTTTACTTATTCATTTTGGTATTTCTAAATGTGCCATTAATATAGGTATTTGATGCAAACAATATAGGTATTTGATGTAAACAGGAGTGATTCCTGAGTGCCACAGGAGTAACCCTTGTGCATCGCTGGGTGTGACCCAAAAGGCAAAAAAATGAAAACAAAAAACCCCCTATATCTAAGTACAAAATAAGAACTCTAATATCTCAAATATTCTAGTGACAAAAACTAACTTCGGGGCAATTTCTTTGATTTTTCTTACATGTTAATAATACACTGAAATCAAAACCCTCAAACCTCAGGAGCTAGTTGGGCCCTTACTCCCATGATCACAGACTCTAGACGCACCTACAAGTGCTCGGAACCAGGGACACCCTCGGTCACCTCCAACGGTTCATTGTCAGGAACACAGACAAAGGACACGGTGTAAAGATTGGATTCTGTTCCCCCTACCTAGCGGTACCCAGTGATTAAGCCAAGACTGAGTCCAAGTCTACGTGGAGCAGAAGGTCTCATTCTCCCGATGAAAACAATACAATGTAAGTGTGCGAGCACATAGAGTCACACAGACCCTTGGGACAGATTGGCTCAGTGGTCAACTCACCTCTTATGTGGGGGGTCCTGGTTTCAATCCCTGGCACTGGAAAAGTAAATAAAATAACAGTTATTTTGCATATTCCTCACATGATCTAGACACCCTAAAAGCAAGGAGGGGGAATTAGGGGTTCATGTCTCGATTCCAGACTGTCCCACATGATCAGCGTAGAAACTCATGAGATATGATGACAAGTCAACATCATTGGTCCAGCCCTGCCCTTTCTTGATTTACTTCTCATTGGTTATCAATAAATTCATCAGTGCCCCATGATTTTGAGTGCTGGGTTAACAAAATAGCAACATGAGCTTCCAAGGCACTTGGTCTGTCCCTAGACTGTTCTCATCTCCACCCCTGCCACTGGGACCCTTGGCTGACACAGCGACTCAGCAGTACACTGTGGGATTACCCTGCACTTATCACCGAGAGTTTTCCTTCTAGTTGTATTGACACTTTTGAAGAATGCCGTGAACTGCATTACAGAAACACAATCCTGAAGCTCAGAAAATAACCTCAAGTGTGACTCACCTTGAGCTGACCCAGGGCCACGTTTGTGTTCGGACGTGCTTCTGTGTGCGCCAGCGTGTTGACTCTGCGGAGTACAGCACAGATGGTGACAGAAAATCAGACATCCAGGTCCCTAGTCCCAGATGCCCACTTTCCACTAAGCCAATGTGCAAATAGTAACTTGGAATCATGTCTGTTTCATTTTTCTGTCAGTAAGGTAACAGTATCTGGCCACTGGCAGACTCGGGGTCTTCGTGTTGGACCTCAGCGTTCCGGACAGTCCTCATCACAGGAGACTCGGACGCCACAAGCCGTCATCATGCATCCAACAACTTCCCTCTTCTCCTACACTCACTTCTAGATCTTTATGAACTGACTGGCTCACGTGAAAATAATGTAATGCCCAATTGACAAAAGACAAAACACTGATAGCTCCATCTTTGAATAGAATAGTTCTTGACTTGATAACTGTGTGGATTTTGTGATGTTCTTTTTCATGCTGGTGTTCCTATTTCATGATGTTCAGTAATTAATGCTGAGCTACCCTTAGCAAGCATTCCGCCATTCTAGGGTTACTTTTTTTTTTTTTTGGCTTTTCTTGTGTCACACCCAAGATGCTCAGGGGTTACTCATGGCTCCACACTCAGGAATTACTCCTGGCGGTGCTGAAGGACCATCTCGGTGCTGGAAAGTGACCCTAGATCGGCCACCTGCAGGGCAAACACCCTCCCCACTGTAGTACAGCTCCGGATCCTGGAACCACTTTTAAAGAAAGTGCTAGATACTCTAGAAATCCCAATATGCCTTGAAGTAGAACTTTTTCAAAAGAAACATGCTCACACTGGTGTTGTGTTTCCAACAGCAAGGGGACCCAGGTTCTCTGCCGTGAAGTGAAGCACAAGTTGAGTCTTCTGAGAACAAAGCAGAGATGGAAATATGTCAGTTAGTGCAACTGTATTCCTCTGGGTTCTGAGGCCACAGTTCATTTCCTCGGCTACTGGGAGTTTCCGTGGTTTGTAATGGAAGCCTCAGTTATTAAGGAACAAAAATTTTTCGTGACGGACAGACAGTCTAGTGGGTAAGATGCTTGCTCTGCATGCAGCTGACCCAAGTTCTACCCCCCACAAAACCATGGATTCCTGAGCCTCATGAGCACTGATCCCTGAGCACAGCTGGGCTTGGGTCATAACGAAAAAGGACGTTTTAATAAATCAAAAATTTTCATAATGTATGACTTTACCTCCTCTTAATAAAAAAAGAAGTTCTTAACAACCTCAAATATAAAACCCAAAACAGCGAATTGGTCCTGATCCATATTTGTATGATCCTTAGTCAAATAGGTGGCAATCTTTATTGATGAATAATTAATTTATTCAGTGAGGATTCGGGTTTCGTGATGGCATCTGAGATTAAACCTATAGCCTCATTCAGGCCAGCAAGATCTCTACTCAGGGGTTATTTCATGTTTGAGCTCTATTTGTTAATTGAAGTAGAACTTTTACTCTTTTTATTTGTTAATTTTCACGTGTTTTTAAATTTATCAATAAATATGTTTTTCCCCTCACCGAACATAATTGATGCTAACTGGATTATATATCACACTATGTTTACATAAATAAATATCCATCTCTCTACATACTCATATTTAAGAGTTGTATCGGTAATTTATAAATAAATCCATAGCTATAAAACCAAGGAAATGATTTTCCTCTAACTCTTAGTTGAAAATCACTTCAGAGAGGAAGTTGAGGGATTCTGCTCCACGTTGGACCTCAGAATGTCAGAAACATTTTCATCATCCCTGTCTCCTGTATCAGTGGCCACAATCATAGGTCCATATCAGACATTGCATTTTGTTTAAACAAATCTATTAATGAATGTATTCATTCACTGGCAGACAAACAATACATGGCTCACAAAAATAAAACCAAAACTAGTCCCGGCATTTCAGTAGTTGCTTTGTGCGTGTGGCTGACCCTGGTTTAATCACTGGCACCACTGCCTATGGTCCCCACCCCGGGCTCTGCCTACAGAATTATTTCCCACATACACTGTATCTCTGCCAATCAACCAGCTCACACTACACAACATTAATTAACACAATACTTTACATCTTGCTCATCATTTGAGATGTGGTTGGCTAATTTTTGAGACTTTAAAAAAATGCTCTATGTCACACAGATAGGGGAAGGGTTGGAACAAGGGTATGTTCAGGGGGATACTGGGGATCTTGGTGGTGGAAAAAGTGAACTGGTGAAGGGATTGGGTGTTTGATGATTGTATGACCAAAGCTCAAACATGAAAGCTTTGTAACTATCTCTCACAGTGAATCAAAATTAAAAAAGGGGGGGGGGGATAATAATACTAATAATAAAATAATAAAATTAAGATTCAAAATTTTAGAAACAGTAATGTGGAGTTCATGCTCAATTCAATCAACTTAATGGTGGAATAAGTAGCAGTACTCCTACATTATAAAAAAAAAAGATGCCAAACACAGTAACAACAAAGTCTCACAATGGAGACATTACTGGGCCCGCTCGAGCAAAATCGATGAACAACGGGAGGACAGTGACAGTGTCTATAAGTGTAGGACTGGAAACTGCACGCCTGAAACCCTAAAATGAACAGTATTGTCAATCTCAATGGCTAAAATACAATTACAAAAATGGTACTGATCACTCAACCATGCTCAAGAAATAACACTGCAAGGCAAACAACACTGACCATTTCTCACCTTGGTCTCATCTCTGACACGAGGACACAGCTTGAAAACAATCTTGATTACAGAAGCTGGAAACTGCTCAGCACCTGTGTGGAAGTACCCACAGAGAAGACGATGAGGGGCTGAAGGGACCCCTCCCCGGGGCAAACCTCCTCGATCACATACACGCATAGGTTTCCATCAGCTCATGCTCATACTACTTCGTCTCTTAATAAAATAAACTTCAGACTTGTTATTCATGGATAACAATATTACCTGTCACTGCTCAGATAGTTCTGAGTAAAGAAATAGAGCATGACGGTACATTTAATAACACTTGAGATTTAGGTTGTTATTCATTTTCCTTGTAACATAGTTGATCAATGAACAATGCTTCATTCTCTTCATCCAAATTTATACATTTTACTTTTATTCTGCCATTAATTCATTCGAGAGGTAAAAAAATATATATGGACACTAAGACCAAAAATAAAATTCTTCAACATTCCTGAATTCTGGCTACCTGTGGGTCGGACCTCCGAGTCGCAGGCATGTGTCCACTGTCATCCAGAGTCACACGCCAGTCATCATCATTGGTCCAGACTGACCCTCCTGCTCTACTGAAAGCCGCAGTCATCTGCTTCCTAATTTGCTCTTAAACTGACCTACATTACCCAAAAGTCATAAGTATAAGTTCCTCGACTAGCCTTGTTCTTTCACCAATCCGTTCCACTGAGAGCCAACTCTCATGAACTGAACTCACTGTTTCATATATGGGTTAATCAGAATATGATTTTATATTGGTGATATCTGACAAGAGCATATTTAGACTGTCTTGATTATATTTAGGATTTGTTAGGAAAAATCAAGTCATGAAACCTGCTTATACATGGATGGACATGGAGAGTATCCTGCTACGTGAAATGAGTCCAAGAGAGGGGGACAGGGAACAAACTTAGAATGATGGCACTCATTTGCCAGATATTAAAACAAAAACACATAAGTGAATAATACCCAAAGACATAGAAGCAAGGGCCAGGAGAACTGGTCCATGGTAGGAAACTTCCACCAAGTGGGAGGAGGAGTGAGGATCATGAATTTCTTGATAATAATAAAATAAACACATTTATAAATTTATTGTCTCCCTGTCTCTGTCTCTGTCTCTCTCTCCTCTCCTGTACTTCTCAGAGCTGAATCATAAAAATTCATAAAAATTCCTTTGATCTACCCTATTGGCCTGTCCAGCTCCCCGTGGCGTATTCGATATGCCAAAAACAGTAACGAGTCTCACAATGGAGACATTACTGGTGCCCACTCGAGCAAATCGATGAACAATGGGATGACAGCATTACAGTGCTACCCTATTGGCTCTATAAATCATTCTTTTTTTTTTTTTTTGCTATTTGGGTTACATCCAGTGATGCACAGGGGTTACTCCTGGCTCAGTACTCAGGAATTATTCCTGGCGGTACTCAGGGAACCATATGGGATGCTGGGGATAGGATCCGGGTAGGCAAATGCCCTCCCCACTATACTATTGCCCCAGCCGCTATGTATCATTCTTCACGAAGACAATATCACCTCTGTTCAGAGGCCTCAAAGATCCCAGCATTACCTGTGATCCAGATTGTTCCATTCTGATTGGGTATACAATTTCACGCAAATCCCACAAACCCATTTTAATTTTTTTAAAATAAAACCAGGACAAGCTCTTTGCTACTTACCTGATTCCTTTCCTGGGCCTGAAGTGAGATGACGATCTTGATCCCAGCAGAATCTGAAGTGAACTCCAATGTTTGCCCTGAATGGGCCAGTGGAGAAGGGAGGCATTAGAGACAGAACCACGGTCTCCGGTGACCACGCACTAAGCCCATTGGGATTTTGTTCCAACTAACATTATATTCCAATCCCCATGATGTTTGTTCATTATACATTTGGAAAATAAACAATACTTTATCTGTTTTATCTCCGACCATTTATGTCTTTGTTCATTCCTTCCGTCAATTCAGATACTCTAAGATTTCATTAACACATACCGCCTGTCCGTGGCCAAGAGCCTGGTAGTCTTCGGGCGTCTGCCCCATGGTGCCCTTCCAGCGGGGAGAAAGGAGCCATTCCTTCTGCAATGGGCCTCAGAGTCCCAGGCAGTCTCATCACCATCTTCCCAGGTGTCACCCTCGTTTTGTATTCTTTTTTTGTTTGTTTCATGTGCTTCAAATAATCTAAAAGTTCACAAATAGTAACAAAGGTAATGCACACAGGTCACAGCTATTTTAAGCAGTTTCTTGGGAATGCCCGAGATCTCTCAACAGAATATGCCCCACCAACACCCTCTTGCCTCCCCTGACCTCAGTGCCTACTTCAGCAATCTATCCCCACCAGGAGTGACATCAGCCCCGCCTCTGCCATTAGGCTGGGACTGATGGATTGATTATATTCCCAAGGTCTTCCTAGGGCAAACACAGGACGTCACTAGGACTTCCACAAGAAAGACTACTACTCACTTCCGTTGCCTCCCAGATCAGACCACGCCTTGCCGACAGCCACCAGGTTTCTGGGGTATTCAAGACAGAACAGACAATCAGGATGGAGACATCCTTTCACCTACGCCCTCCGCCTGCCCGTTACTAAGCCAGCTCCGTATGTACCAGCTGGTGTCACTAACTCTTTGGGGGCCTGGGCATGTGGTCTGTATTCAGGAACCCTGGCATTGCCCACTCCCCCCCAAGCACGGAGTTGGGCTTAGTCCCAGAGCACCACCCATTATTTTAGAGGCCCTTAATTATTTCACTCTTGTCTTTACAAAAACCACATGAAACTCACTACTGTCCCTGGGCAACAGGATTGGTGTCTGTATTGATGATGGTTAGCCTGATGGACTCGTTTGAAATAAGGATTCCTCATCCAAAAGTCAAGTAGGTGCAGTTCACACCTTTCGGCAATACTGGGACCCCACTTTTTAGAAACAATAGCAATATGCAGGACCCAAAGCTTGACCCCTACTTGCCTTGGTCTCAGATCCTCAGACATGGTCACATTCGCGGAGCTGGTCACCAGAAGGTTCTTCAACTCAAGGGGCCCATTACTATTATCTTCCTGAGAGATTCAGTTCTGAGAAGAACAGGAGAGGAGAGAGAGACAGAGACAGAGACAGAGACAGGGAGACAGAGACAGACAGAGACAGAGAGACAGACAGAGATGGACAGACAGAGACAGAGAGACAGACAGAGATGGACAGACAGAGACAGAGAAAGACAGAGATGGACAGACAGAGACAGACAGACAGAGATGGACAGACAGAGACAGAGAAAGACAGAGACAGAGAGAGAAAGAGACAGAGACAGACAGACAGATCGACAGACATAGAGACAGAGACAGAAAGAGGGGTGGGAAAAGACAGGATTCCAAACATTGGAGATAACTCCCAGAGGTGATGCTTAGCAGACTACACTGGACAGCCCATAGGGACTGTCCATTGAAAAAATGTGTTTATTTCTCCTGAGAAAACAGACCTAAACGGTCTCACCAGTGTCACCGTGGGAGCACGGCTCCGGCTCCACCCTTCCCTGACGCTGTGAGCCAAGAAGGGGAGAAGCCATGACACACTGACGGCTGTGGATACTAGAGAGAAGTCTGTCCATACACTGTCTCGAGGTTAAACAAAGGGTTTATCGCCATTTTCATTAGCATTGGTCTCTTCGCCCACTGACTATTTCAGAATCTGTTCTGAGGCAGAGGAGAGACACTGGACATCATGTGGTTGGACCTCAGAGTCACACGTATTCATCGTAGAAGACTCATACGCCACCGCCAACAGCGAACATCATCGATCCAACCCTGTCCCTCCTGCTCTGCACTGACCCCCATCGTCCATGTGACCGTCAGCCTGTGGCCTGGCCAGGACTCATCTGGGGGCTACTGAGTGACTGCTGGACACAACCCCATAAATGGCCCCCATTTCAGATTAAGAGTCCTAGATCACCACTCCCCTCCCTATCTCCCTCATCAGTGATGCTAGGCGACCCCTGGACACGGATGTGCAAGGAACACTCAACCCCGTATCAGCCAAGTCCACCCTGCAGATGTCAGGGGGACACAGGGGTCTCACTGATCACGGAGCACTTTGTGAATCAATCCCTGTTGTCCTACAAAATTCCTAACACCAGGCCCTAATGGTAACAGTACTTGCCTTATTCTGAGCATCAGAAAACAGGGTTGCAACTATGACGCAAGGAGCCAAGACAGCGGCGACTTCTGTTCCAGAGTGCCACTTTCCCGAGGGCAACTGAGAGAGAAAAAGGGAGAGAAAAAGATGTGAACAGGCTGACACTCAATGCCGCTGAATCCTGCCCAACCCCTCGGCATAGAAAGACCATGTGAGAATCTCTTTCTATTTCTCCCTAGGTAGCATGCCCTACCCATCTCCCGGGGAACCTGGACAGGAGTCACTGACCAGCAGGGCACGACATTATCAGAAATCATTAGCCCAGGAAGTCACCCTCCACACCTCTGAAAAATGGGCACTGATAGCATTTCCTGGATCAGGACTTGAACCGTGGGACGGAACACCACAGCCTCTATTTTTGTGATCCAGTTCCTGATTGATGAGTTCCTGGTCGAGTGATGACCGGGAAGGGGATACTCTCAAGTCCTGATATCCATTTATAGCCTCATGCCACAGGCAGCCAAGGACAAGTTATCACCTCTTTGGACCTCAGACTCCAACATATTCATTGTTGAAGACTCATACGCCACCAGTGGTCATCACTGATCCAATAGTGCACCTTCCTGGCCTCACTGGGGCATGTTGGCAGCCAAAGAACCACTAATTTCATTGGGGTAAAAAAAATTCTGGGACCCAGGGATGGTCTGAACATCCCACACTGTGATGAAGCATCATACTGGCATCCATATCACTAACTCAGGCTCCAATTACTGTCTCCCACGGGAACTGATGGATGGAATCAATCCTTTACTTGCTACCGCATAGCAAGGGCCTTCCCTGATAGTATTTCACACCTTTCAATGATACTGGCCATCTACTTTCTAGACATAATAGCACATGTGGGACCCAAACCTTGACTTGCACTTGCCTTGGTCTCAGATCCTAAGACGTGGTCTCAATTGTGGAGCTGGTCACCAAGAAGGTTCTTCAATTGGAGGAGTCTACCGCTATTATTTGTAGGAAGGTTTTGGTTCTGAGAAGAACAGGAGAGGAGAGAAGAGGAGAGGAGAGGAGAGGAGAGGAGAGGAGAGGAGAGGAGAGGAGAGGAGAGGAGAGGAGAGGAGAGGAGAGGAGAGGAGACAGAGATACAGACACAGAGAGACACAGAGAGACACAGAAAGCAGGGTGGGGAGAGATGGGATTTCAAACATTGGAGATAACTCCTAAAGGTCATGCTTAGCAGGCTACACAGGCTACAGGACGGCCCATAGGGACTGTCCATTTGAAAAAATACGTTTATTTTTCCTGAGAAAACAGACCTAAACGGTCTTACCAGTGTCACCACTGGAGCATAGTCCCGGCTCCATGTGAGCCAAGGAGGGGAGAAGCCCTGACACACTGACGGCTGTGGGTCTAGAGGGAAGTCTGTCCATACACTGTCTCGAGGTTAGACAAAGGGTTTGTTGTCGTTTTCATTAGCATTGGTCCCTTCGTCCACTGACTACTTCAGAACCTGTTCTGAGAGGCAGAGGAGAGACACTGGACATCATGTGGTTGGACCTCAGAGTCACACGTATTCATCGTAGAAGACTCATACGCCACCGCCAACAGTGAACATCATCGATCCAACCCTGTCCCTCCTGCTCTGCACTGACCCCCATCGTCCATGTGACCTTCAGCTTGTGGCCTGGCCAGGACTCATCTGGGGGCTATTGAATGACTGCTGGACACACACCCCAGAAGTGGCCCCACAGTTCAGATTAAGAGTCCTAGATCACCACCCCCATCCCTATCTCCCTCATCAGTGATGCTAGGCAACCCCTGGACACGAGTGTACAAGGGACACTCAATCCCATATCAACTGAGTCCACCCTGCAGACGTCAGGAGACACGGGGGTCTCACTGATCACGGAGCACTTTGTGAATCAATCCCTGTTGCCCTACAAAATTCCGAACACCAGGCCCTCATGGTCAACAGTACTTGCCTTATTCTGAGCATAAGAAAACAGGGTTGAAACATCATAATGCAGGGGGCAAGACAGCAGCGACTTCTGATCAAGAATGCCACTTTCCTGAGGGCAAACTGAGAGGGAAAGAGAAAGAGATGGAGGGAAGGAGGGAGGGAGGGAGGGAGGGAGGGAGAGAGACAATGAACAGACTGATACCTAATGGCCACTGAGTACTGCCTGTGTCCCTCAGCACTAAAATGGACATTTGAAAAACTATTTCTCTGTATTGGTGCCTAGTTTCCAACACTCCAAACAAAGGTACAAAGTGACTGTTTATTTATGGTATTATGTATATATTTTTCTCTTACTAAGATAAATATAAAGCTTAAAACTGATGTAGATCAAGACTCCATGGTTACCACTGTCTCAGTTTAAAGTGTAAAATACATTTGGTCCACTTTGTGTACATTTTCAATATTTCTAATCACTCTATATTTAGTAAGCAATACTAAAATCCTTTCAACCTCATTCACTTGGACATATATTTATTCTGCTGTTTATAGCCTTGAAATAAAATTATTCCAATTTCATAGGCACAGAGCCAGGGAAGCCAGTCCTCAGACCATTCTGAAATATTCTGAAAAATGGTACACCAACGGCAGAGAGATGGATTCAGAGGTGGGCAGGGTGCCTCCGTGTAGACGGACTGAAGTCTCTTCATGGCCAATCCGGACTCGGGTTCCATCTTCTTCGTTCTGAACAAAACTTGGCACCAATCAATGAATTAATTAATTCATTAAAAATAATAAAATAAGCACTTATGTAACGATAAAATCAGGTAGAAGACCACCCAATATCCCGCCACCTGTCTATGGAACATTCGCTTCATTGAACAATGCTTTTTCCATTAATCTTTCCTCTTGTGGCAAAATATCAACTAATCAAAATGTTTTGTCCCAGTACCAGATTTGTCATTGACTTTTGTTGGACACTCTCTGAATATATTTAATAATTGTTCATTTTACACTGAATAGCCTCCACAAATAAACAAGATAATGGGAGACCTATTACTCACCGTGTCTTTAGTTTTTATGTGTAGGAC